GGGACCCGACCCCTGGGACGGGAGCGCTGCCGCGCTTCCCAAGCGGCGCACTATCCAGTGCGCCACCGGGCCGGCCCAAAAAAATATTCTTTCTCAAGGCCAAACTAAAGCTCTTCCTTCCACCTGATTGTAAGTATAGTACAAGGATATGACTAGACCAAGGAAAGAAATGCATATATTTTAATTTGAAAATAGACATTAAAAGGAAGCAATGCCCTCTAGAACCCTTGAGAGCACTCAGAGGTCACCTTGAGAATCACCATATTTTTCATAAACTACCTCATCTTCTAATTAAAGTTACTTTTTCTCAAACACCAGCATTCAAAATGTTTCAGCCATGTTCTTCTGCAATGTCATTACTTTTCTGCATTTTATTGCTACATTATGGGATTTCTTGGCACTGAAGTGCCATTTATAACATTATTTCTATGGGAAGATGTATCTCAAATTCAAAAGAACAAAGTTGCAAAATGAAATCTGGGAATACCAAACATTTGTAAATTGTGTTAATTAATTTCATTCATAATTCATACAATCATTCATTCATGTAGTAAATATAGACCACTTGATGTTAAGCACTGACTCCCACTTATTTTGCTGTCTTTATTGTGATTCTTATTTAAGTTCTAAAGCTAAATATCCCCTTCTTCGATAAAAAATCTGTGAGAAGGTATGTAAGGGAACTTTTTGTGTGTGTAAACATGAAAAATTTAAGATGTTTCATTAAAAAGTATCTGTCCCTATTCAAATATTGTGAGGGTGGATTTCAGACATCCACCCAACTGTATCCGAAAATCCTGGACAGCTGTGAGGTTGGTGACAGGAACTACAAAAATGGAGAGTCTGGAGTTACCATGCCCTCTGGGGAGAGAGAGAATGAACTCTAAGGAGTTGTAACTTTTGACCCATTAAAGACCAATGGGGAAAAGGGCACAGTGAGACATGAAAATGTACCCAGGAGAGCCAGGTCGCAGAAAGCCTGGGGCTTCAGGAGTGAGAGAAAAGGTAGGAGTGAGAGAGGCACTGTTTTGAGAAGATGCTTAGCAAACCGCATGGTGGGGTACACACATTGAGATTCTTTCCTTTGCCTGCAATGCCCTTTTTTCCTGTTTCTATTCTGGCAAGCCCAGCCACAACCTTCAAATCCTAGCTTCATATGGCTTTTTTTGTGAAGCCTTTATATACTCATGTCCCCTCAAGCAAAATACATCTCCTTATCCTTCAATATGCTCCCAGAGTGCTTGGCTAGATAATTTTAGAATAACACCTCTATTTGTTTCCACACCCAACTTTCTAGCTTGAGTGAGCAGAAACCTTTGCTTTTTTATTTTTATAATTATAGTGCCTAGTACATTACCAAGCACAAAAGCAGTTGCTTGATAAATGCTTATTAAAATATAGTATGCGTTATTATAACTTGCACATGATTAGCACTCCAGAGTTAAAGTGTTTTTGTGAATTTCATTTTATTTGATACTACAATGCTGTGAGTTTTTTCAGTTATTCATTCACTATTTAACTCCTATTATATGCTGAAGTCTTCTCTAGAAGCTGAGGATATAGTCTGAAGCAAATGGAGGAAGTCCCTACTCCAGTGGAGCTTATATTTGAATTGAGGTGATAATAATAACCAAATGCAAATTAATAAGCATATGGTAAAGTTTAGTAAAGGAGAAGAGGATTATGGGAAGTGGGGTAAGCAGGAGGATTCTTTGAGGTGTCCGACATTTGAGCTGAGAATTAAATAAGGTAAACGACCAGCTAAGCCGAAAGGGAAGCACGCATATAAAGGCTCTGAAGTATGCTGGCCAGTTTGAGGAAGAGCAGAGAAGCCAGAGTGGCTGGAGTAGAGAGGCATGGAAGAATGGGAGAAGATGAGGTGGAAGAGATGCCAACACCAGATCACAGAGGGCCCTGAGTCCATGGGAAGGACTTTGGGTGTTGCCCTAGGTAAAGCAAGAAGCCATTCTAAATATGAGCAGCTGTGTGGCAGGGTCTGATTTACATTTTTAAAGAATCTCTCTGGGTTCTGAGGGGACTGTTGCAATCATTCAAGCAAGAGATGAGGAGGTCTAAATCAAAGTCTAGGGTGGCAGTAGAAATGGTGAGAAATAGTTGATATCTGGACGTATTTTGAAAGTAGACCTGACAGTATGCTGGATGTAGGGTGAGAGAGAAAAAAAGCAAGCAATTGGGTACATCCTGTGATTTGTTGAGATGGAAACAATGGGAAGGAGCAGGTTGGTGGGTGGTGGCATCAACCATTCAGTTTGGACCATTGTGTTCGAGGTGTCTTTTAGACATCCAAGTGCAAGTGTCATGTGGGTACTTGGATACACCACTCTGGAGCTCAGGGGAGAGACTGGGGCTGTGGGACTGAAGGTATAGATCCAGGAATTCACCGTATGTGGATGGTATTTAAACCATGAGAGTGGGTACCTATGGGAAAAAGGAGAGGTTGCAGGACTGAGCCCTAGGCAATATCCAGCAGATATTGAGGTAGGAGGAAGATTAGGAGACTAATATACCATCTTAGAAGTCCTATAAATAGAAAAGTTGGAGGCAATACCATCCTAAAACCCTAGCAAGGAAAGTGTTTCAAAAAAGACTGATCCACAAGGTCAAATGCAGCTAAGAGATCAAGTGAGAATAAGGACTGGGAATTGACCTTTAGATTTGCCAATAGGAAAGTCATTGGAGAACTTTGTAAGTAAAAGACCTCAGCATGGACATTTTTATTTGAAAGCAGGATGGTGTGTTTTCAAGAGCAGTGGAGGGAAGATAAATAAAGACAGTTCTTTCAAGAGGCTTTTCACTAAGGGGATGTTTGAAGGGGAAGTGACTGCAGGGGATGATGAACAAAAGAAAGGGTGTTTGCTTGTTTTAAGCTTGGAAAGTTGCGGACTTTGGGCAAGTTATTTAATCTTTCTGAGTGTCAGTTTACTTCCCTATCATATGAGAGTGATAATGACAACCAAAGCTGTTCCCATAGGCACCTAACTATGTGTTCTATATTAGTCAAGACTTTTTCAGCTGCAAGTAATAGAAACCCAATCAGTTTAAAGAAGACATAAAAGGCTGGGAGAAACTGAGGAATGAGGAGACTGTCTTTCCTAGATTATTTGTATACTGATGAGGATAATCTAGTAGAGTGGAGGGGAAAAACTGAAGATACAAGAGAGGAAAGTGACAATTGCAAGAGCAAAATCCTTGATAGACAAAAGGAGTGGGATCCAAATCACAAGTGATGAGAATGGCCTTAGAAGCAGGGACAGTGCATTCAGGTGATACAAGTGACAGTAGGTCAGTAGATCAAATGCGGGAGGATGAA